GCAGGCACAGGAGAGAGGCCTTCAGTCACTCAGGAGGATCTAGTTCTGAAGTGACCACCATCACCATGGGCTCCTCAGCTGCACAACCCGGGCCCTCTACCACCATACTCTACCTTACTGTCCCCAGCCATGCAGCTGGGACATGGCTAGACACAATCCAGCTGTGGGTTCTAAGGAGTCAATCAGTGTCCTTAGGGTCCTCATACTCCTGGTAGTCTGCAGGGATAAAGAGACTGTATTTGTGGATGTTAATCCCTAAGAAAAAAAATCTCTGCTATTCTAGGCCAACATGGGCACTTGCTTGTAATATTTGTGACATTGACACTTTATGCGTAACTTTATCTTACGATGACCATAACAACCTTTGGGAGTGATGCTGGTGAGGCCACCTGATGTTGCGCTACTGACTCCGTCCTCTGGCACACTGCTTGGTACCCAGCCTCCCTCCAGAACCCCCAGCACGTGGTGGCAGCTCTCGTCACCTTCTTGTCATGAACCAGGTCCACGCTGAAGTAGAGGGGCACGAGACATGAGAAACCCGACAGCAGCCTCTGACGGCAGCCTGATCTAGGAATGAAACACTTGTTTTAACTTGCAGACACACACCATCCACCCCAAACTTTCCTACCCCACCGCAGAGATGAGGGAGGGGAAGGGACTCCCAGAGCACACGCAGGCAGGTCCTGACGGCTTTGTGAATGATTCACAAGGAAACTCAAAGTAAATGCAACATGTTTTATTTGAGGTTGGAATAAATTACAACTGTAAAGCACAATTTATTGCTTTATAAATTGTCTGCTCTTAGAAGGCATTAATATGAAACATAAACGAAACAAAGACACATTCGATTAGCAGTTTGGTTCTCTTAAGCTTCATGAACAGCTCAGTAGGGGGGATTTCATTCTATACATGACTGAAATCTCGGTTCTCCTAAGCTTCATGAACAGCTCAGTAGGGGGATTTCATTCTATACATGACTGAAATCTCTGATCACAGACTCGTAAACTTGACTTTGACATGCATTATCACCACCCAGCCATGTTGAGGGGACTGTAGATGTGTTCATTTGCTTTAGGATATAATTTTTATTGCAATTTTCCCTAAGATATCCCATTGAATACCCAGTCCTTCATTCCTCACTCAAATACAAATCCCACTGGTTTCAAAAAACTCTTTTAAAACACAAGTGGGGTTTTTCTACCCCTGCAGAAGGAGGGCTTCCAAGTCTAAAGCAGAAATGAGTCTGGTCCCAAAACTCAGTGAAAAACAAACTCCTCCCATACTGAAATTCCATGCACAAAAATAGTTTCCTTCCATTCTGAAGATGCTTGCAAAAAATTCCAACATTATCTGAACGAACTGATGTGGATACATCATACTTCTACTTCTCCATGCCTGAGACTGGTATGAATTTTGCTCAGCACCTGTACTGCTCTAGGGTGCAGACCCCCAGGCAAGTCCAGTCTGCCCTGAGCCCCGGGGGCTGAGAGGGTGCTCCCAGGAGGCTACATGCACTGAGCACCTTGTAGTATCCAGCCCTGAACGCATCGATGCCACGACACAACGAGCTGGATCTGGCTACCTCCAGCCAGATATGACAGGCAGAAGGAAGGCCAAGGAGTCACCTCCTCAGCCTCCTGGGGAGTCAGAGCTTCTGAACATCAGAAAGGGAATGAACATTGATGAGCAGCTCTCGCTGCACCACAGAAAAGGATTCCACCCAGGCATCCTGCCCTGCTCTGACCCTCTCGCACTGCAAGGGCCAAGCGCTCCCCATGCCTCAGCTCCAGAACAGCATCTCCCTGAGCTATTCCCTGAGCAGGGAGTGTGCACTTCTGCTCTCGCTTTCCCAGCTGGGTCCAAAGCAGCACAAGGTGAGCTGGCTTATGCACTCTGGTACACCAGAGGTAAAACTCTCCAGAAGCAGAACCAGAGACTTCTGTCTCAATTAGTCCTCGGAATAACTCAGAAAGTTTGCAGAGAAAATCTCCCAGGCAGCTTCTCTTCCAGTCACAAAACTAACTCGAAAACTAATGAGCCACTGGTACAGAGAATCCTTCTAAAATCAGGTCAGTATGAGTCAGAAAGTTCCTATTTAGAGAAGGGTTTCTTCTCATACCAGCCTCTAATGTTCATGTCATGCCTACAAGAATGTCAATAGCTGAGTGAGGTGATAAGATATTTTATCTGTATGACTGAATGGGAATGGTTAAGTCTAATTACTGGATCCAGGAAATATACATCCAATTTCAAGGAAAATTCTATTACCTTGATCCTGGTGCGATTTCAGTTTTCACTAAAATTTCCCCAGTAATGTAGGTATCTTTTGTATGTTTCATGCATGATCTCATGTTAAAAAAGGGCAAAGAAACTTTTTTCTTCTAAACACGGTTTCCTCAGATGTGTTTCTGTTGTGCCATGAGGGATGGCCAGCTTTGGTGTCTGCGAGGCGCTACAGCAGATTTCGGGCACTGCACTTGCCCATAATGGCTCCCAAGAAGTCAAGCACCATGGCAGAGCTTTGGTGGGAGGCTGGGAGCGTGCAAGGCCATACCTGAAGAGTGCTGAATTGGGTCAATTGTTCAGCACTTCTCAGTGTCCTCCTCACTCAAAGACTGGACAATCCTGTTTTAGCTCCCTGTCACACGGTAAAGTGCTTAACAGAGGGGTGGGAACACTAATGCCCCTTCCTCCACCTCAGCTCCTGCCCTGGGAGAGGCTTGTGGAAAGGTGGCTTTGTGGCTGCTTTGTGCTAGCAGGATACGCTACAGCTGGGACCAGGGCGTGCAGACGGTGCACGCCTGATTCATCACCATCTTAGAGAAACATAACTCAGAAATGCACAAGCCTTTAAAAGCATCAGTCATTTCACTTACACTCACGGAGAACAGATTCTTGGCTGACTTCTTTTTTCCTTAGCAGTTCTGAATTTTTCTTTGAAGATGAGAAGAAGGAAAGCTAGCCTTCAGGGAGAAGGACAAGCAGAGACACTTGCAAATTAAAATGCACGCACATGTCATCCACTGCAGCAGTGACCTCCTGTCTGCACCTTACAACACAACATCTTATTATCTTGAATCTTAATTTCTGATCCCTTTCATTCCTTTCTGGGTCAGTGAAATGTCCCCGAGGACTCTACAGAGAAAACTAATAAGAGGAACAAACTGTTGTCGCCAGGACAAGTACAGGGTTACATTCAAGCCACAGACTCTGGAGGGGCAGGACAGGGAGCAAACTTACTTCATTTTCTGGTGCAAGTGTCATAGGGGATCTGTAAAAATAGCAAGTGAGGAGTGAACACAGTGAGAGAGAAGATGGGCTAATAATGGTTAGCGCACTGGACTGGAATTTGGCTGATGGAGTCAATTCACCTTCCCCTTGCTCTTGAAGCGATCAGAAAAAAGGAAACAGTTTACATTAACTTCAGGGTGCTTAAACATTCCCAGTTCACCGAATACCCCCAAAATATTTCTTCTCTCATAAAAGTCCCCAACAGCTTATGCACTGCCCCTCCTCAGACTAAGCACACCAGAGAGAAATCTTCTAAGGAATCACACTTCTTCTGGGAAAAAAAGAACCGACAAACTTCAAGATTGCAACATCTCGGCTAAGGCTCATTTAGCCATCTGCAAAGCCTCTTACCCCTCCTGGTCTTCACACCTGAGCTGCCCATTTGCAGTGCACTTGCAGTCAGAGTGCGCCGATCAGGAGCTCTTAAGTCTGTTCCCATCTTTAATTCACGGGGTCTGGTCTCTGGCAAGGCACTCGGGCCAGCACCGTCTTAGGGTTTCTGTTTCAAGCACCTGACTGACTGGGGACAAGGTTCCTATTGAACTGAAAAGCAGATGGGGCAATGAGTGAGAGCATCTGAAAGCAAAGCCGTTAACGTGTGCGTTTGCTCATGGGGAGGGCAATGTTCAGCCACTCTACCAAAATATGGCAGGCTTATTAATTAGTGGTTTCGAAATGCTCTAACTTTTCACAGACCTTCAGAAGTGCTGAGCATTTTAATTGGCAGGAAAGCCATGCCTCAGCATTCAGTGTATTGTTAGAAACTGACATTTTCCTCTTCCACAGTCCTTCCCATCACAAAGTGTCTCATGCAACAAACAAGTGTCTATACTGTGATTTTACCAACGGAGGAACTGGGTCAGAGATGGTCGCTGGCTGGATCAGACCCATGGAGCAGATGAATGACCTAGTCAAGCGAAAACTAAGTCCCTTGATGCCAGGCCCAGTGCTCCATCCTCCCACCAGAGGTTACTAAATAGTAGACATAAATAATCCCCCAAAGGAACTGATGTATCATGAAGGGCAAAGAGCCTCTGAAGCTATGTATACTGGCATAAAGTACAGCACAAATATATTACATATTTAGTTCTATACCTGCTTCTTTGTCACGAGGGTAGCGGGTTGCTCGGACAGCTGTCTTCTGGTCAGCCTATTATGTTATTTCCTATGGAAATGCAGGTAAAGGTGCGTATGCAATTCAGTAGTAGAACAGGAGTTTGGATTTACATGGCTGAAAGAATGTTTCTTATACCCCAGTGAGATTTTTGCATGCATCTGCATACTCACCCAGATGCTGCCTCTGCCGTGCTCCATGCCTGAGTTTCATGCCAGGTTTGTTCTGCGTAGCAGGCATATCATACGCACACAGTGACCTGGTACAAGAGCACATTCTGCACGCCAAGTCTCAGGCAAAAACTCACCTACAAAACCTAAGCGTGTTGGTAGTTTTTTGCAGTGAATCGGGCTTTCACTAGGAATTAACATAAGCTGCAATGACTAATCTTATACTCTGTGCACTTGCGTATTTTCTTTTCACAGTTCAACCACTTTCTTCCTTAATACTAAACCGCTAAAGTCTTACATAGCATTCAGAGCATTATTTTTCACTGGCTTTGTTTCTCTATGCTCTAAGCCTCTATCACAATGCATGCAAAGGATAACGGCTGAATTTGTAATGCTTTTAACTAAAAAAATATTTTTAAAAACATAAAACATAAATTATTTATTCCTCTTTGTCCATTGTTTTAAGCACTGAGTCTTCTCCCAAGATTTTACACAGTTCATTCAGTCTCTGCTGCATTTTAGGAATTCCTGCAAGTTGGGATTCCAGTCTCTGTTTTTCCTCACTCAGTGATAAACGGATAGCGGTGTCCAACTGCTCGAAACGCCAGCCACCTTGTCCATCAAACTGCAGCAAGTGAGTGTGGTACTTCCTGCAGTAGAAATTAAAACATTAGTAATGGCTTAGGGAACTGGTGGTTCGTTCTTGCACACAAATTTGAATGTCTGCATCTCTTTTCAATGGTGCTTCTCAGGAAGTTGAGAGTCGTCCAGTTTTGGATCACCAGATAAGACTTTTTTTTCAGTGACTCATAATCCCACGATATTCTTTCATAAGGGATGTGGGTATTTCAAAGTCTGTCACCGGGACTTCCCTAGACCATCATTACCTCTAGTGAAATTCAGCAACGAGGTGCCAGCTGTAAGCTACCAGCACCAGAGTGGGCTCCCCAGCTGGGGTGGTCATTGCCTCGCGCCACCCATCACCTGCAGTGCCACTGGCAGGAGCAGGCGGCAGGGTTGTGGATGGTCCCTGCCACGGTCTGCTGTCCCTGGGCAAGGTGGCAGCCTCCCTCTTTCTGACTCACTCTTAGAAACATTGTCTGTGGCTGCAGTTGTCTCTGCTGCGACTCCACCAGACTCCTCTTTCTCCAGGAGCCTGACGAGGGGCAGCAGACAAGGTTCCCTTCTCCTCCAGGAACACCAGTCCCAGTTTATTTTATTTACCTTGCTTTCCAAGAGATGTTTTACCTCCTTAGCAGAAAATACATGCAGGCAGGCACGGTGCACACGATGTTACTGATAAAACTCTAGTTTGTTTGAATCACACCTCAGTTTGTTCTCCTCCATCTTGTAAGGCTGGCTAAAGAAAACTTCAGTCCTAAAACATGGTTCATTTTGCAAAGAGCCAAACCAAAAAAGTCTGTGTAGGAGTCACAGATCTTTCAGTGAGTTTCAAGGTGTGTGCACCAAAAATATTCAAAGGTGTACATGTGGAGTTTGTCAAGACCTGACAAGACATTTATCAGGAAGTGCACGAGGAAGAGCAGAGTTCCCTCAGAGCTGGTATGACTGTGTAATTTATCACTATAAATTACAGAAGATGAGATGCATCATAAAACAGTGATTATAAATTCCATCCAGAGAATGTGACAGTTTAATAAACTCGATAGCTTATGACATGGGACTCAAAAGAGATTCAACTCCAGACTTATATTCACCACTTCCTCCATATTATTCTTTGTGACACAAAATGCTTAACCTATCCCTCTATTTTCCTCCACCAATAACCAAAAATAATCAGGAAGCTAAGATAGCTGATTGAGACGTCCAACGTTTGTCGAGTAGGAAAGTAGCCAATATTTTGATTAAAAAAAGCAAATATTTCCTGGTATAATCTTGAGGAGAAGAAAACAGTATGCAAACCTCTTTGTCTACGCAGTACAGTCCCTGCAGAAGCATACCTACGTTAAAGGCATTTGACGTTTATTTCCAAATGCTCAGCACTTCTGTTTACTTCTCCAGAACCCCACAAATCACCAGATTTCTGATAATTTCAGTAATACTGAGGAGGTTACAAGAACAGTCCCAAACCTTCATAGCACTAGTGCTAGGAAACAAGAAATGTCCGTAAGAAACTGAACTCAAAAGGTCTTTCTCACAAGTTCGTTTGTTCGTTTGCAGAACTTCCCTCAGCATCATCAACTTCTTATGTTGGAGTCCCCAACATAAGAAGGACATGGACCAGTTGGAGAGGGTCCAGAGGAGGGCCACGAAGATGATAAGAGGGCTGGAGCACCTTTCCTATGAGGACAGGCTGAAGGAGTTGGGGCTGTTCAGCCTGGAGAAGAGGAGGCTCCGGGGTGACCTTATAGCGGTCTTCCAGTACCTCAAGGGGGCCTACAAGAAAGATGGGGAGAGGCTGTTCAGGAGGGCCAGTTGTGATAGGACAAGGGGTAATGGTTTTAAAATAGAGGGAGGTAGATTCAGGTTGGATATTAGGAAAAAATTTTTTACTATGAGAGTTGTAGAACACTGGAACAGGTTACCCAGAGAGGTGGTGGATGCTCCATCCCTGGAGACGTTCAAGGCCCGGTTGGATGAGGCCCTGAGCAACCTGATCTAGTTGGAGATATCCCTGTTCCTTGCAGGGGGGTTGGACTAGATGACCTTTGAAGGTCCCTTCCAGCCCTAACGATTCTATGATTCTATGATTCTATGATTCTATCATTACTTATAAGCAGGATGCTTTCAAATACCTGTTTTCTTGAGCAGTGGTTTTAAAACAATGTCAAACTTTAAAAAATTTAAATACTACTTTTCAAGTGCAATTTAGATTATCTTAAAAACAATTGCCTATGTGACATTTTTTGCCTATCAGAATGCCCACTTTTTCTTAACATTTAGGTCCTGATCCAACAAAAGCCATTTTCACTGTCACTGTCTCCACAGAGGACTCATAGAATCATAGAATGGCATAGGCTGGAAGGGACCTCAGAGATCATCTAATCCAACCTCCCTGTCATGGGCAGGGACGCCTCTCAACTAGATCAGGCTACTCAAGGCTCCATCCAACCTGGCCTTGAACACCTCCAGGAAGGGGGCATCCACAACTTCTCTGGGCAATCTATTCCAAAGTCTCACCACCCTCGTACTGAAGAATTTCTTCCTAAAATCTAATCTAAATCTGTTCTCCTTCAACTTAAACCCATTTCCCCTTGTCCTATCAGTGGACACTCTTGTAAAAAGTCCCTCCCCAGCCTTCCTGTAAGTTCCCTTCAGGTATTGGAAGGCAGCTATTGGGTCCCCCTGAAGTCTTCTCTTTTCAAGGCTGAACAATCCCAGCTCCCACAACCTGTCCTCGTAGCAGATGTGTTCCAGCCCCTGGATCATCTTTGTGGCCTTCCTCTGAACACGCTCCAACAAATCTATGTCTATGTCTAGGAAGGAGGAATGCTGGGAAAATCGTTCTTTTTCAGAGAAGTAGACACCATTGCAGTTTCTCTTCTTTGTGGCAACAGACTGGTAATGGATTTTTTGTCATCGGTTTTAAAAAAGCAAACAATCTGGCAGTAGAGATCAAGGATTTCAGAACAAACAGTCTCTGCTAATGCCAGCTTACACTGTCTTGATCTCCTTTTGCCCTTTAAAGCATTTGGTTGTTTCATGTATTCAGTAACTACACTTATTTCATTTGAGGGACTCTTCCATACTTAGTACTCCCTCACTAGAATGATGTTTGTCAGAATTCAAATATTTATTTTTTCAATAGATAATCAAATTTTGAAAGCTCATGAACCCTGCAGATGAAGAACACAACTGAAGGAAAACAACAGATGTATTATCCCTGTGGAAGAACAAAGAGTAGGTTAACCACTTGCCATGTTTTCCATCTTCTCTCAAGCACTTGTAAACTTCCCCAGGACAGCTCATGTACCTTGTGACTTTTACAGAATATTCTGGTGATATCTGTTGTTGTGATGTGGTGGACTAACTAATTGCCTCTTAGATACACACATGTTGCTATTAATAGTTAACGACTGAAACACATTTTAAAAAAATAAGAGGGAGGAATAAATATGTATCAAAGAATGAAAAAAAAACAATGCTAAATGCATTTACATTACTATTATTGTAGACAAGTTATCTTAGAAAGTGCAGTAGATATTGATTGAACAGCTGTCCTAGTACAAAGAACAAAGGCCAGTCTACCGCCTGCCAGAAAGAGAAAAGCAAGGACCAGGATAAATCCCTGAACATACTTACCAAAGAGAAGGTCTGTGTGTTATAGAAAGCAGGGATATCCCAGCAGCTTTTGCAGCTTGGAATATCTTTCCTTCAACATCAATGCTTACAGCACTTGTGCATTCGTCCAGCAATGCATATTTTGGCCTTTCAAAAGCAGATAAAAAATGTTACTCTTCTATGTTTTGGACAGTATTCCCATGTAGGATGTTTAATTGAAAGAACAGCAGAAAGGAGAGAGGTATTTTTGCCAGGCAGCTGTCCCTCATCTACAGCTAGAAGCTGGCTAGTAACAACATAAAGCTTCCATGTATTATTCAAGTGCAGACCTGGCTTCCAGGAAAAATGGGTTTTATTTCCTGGTCCATCTGAGTACACAGTGATCTAACTTCTGTGTTCTAGTTTGACCTGGTATTGTTCCATCCTGTCATCAAGTCATGCAGTGACTAGTTACCTACGGCCAACTCAGAGTTTCTATCCACTGCTATGTATGGACTGCGCTGCCTGCGCAGTACTTGCCGTCTCCAATAGCCTCTGCAACAGCCCATCAGACTTCTGCAATATTTGTAGGACAGATGCAGCGAAGACGTTTCTGCCTGAGATGTTAAAGAAAGGATCATCTGGAAAACGTTGCCCAAACTAAAAGCAGAGCTCATAGGGATAAACGACAGTCTGCGGTCCTATGCAGACGTCTAGCAGAACTGCATATTGCATGGAGATAATAGTCTACTACTGCTCAAACTATTACACCAAACCTTCAAAACTTTTCCTCATTTTCAGATGCTACTTAAAAAAACAGATCGAAATGCTTACTTATGGTAAAACATCCGAGCCATGCCCATCCTTTGTTTTTCTCCTCCTGATAAGACATCTTTCCAATCCATGATGGCATCCCAGCCTTTTAAAAAAATGCAGACAAAATATGTCAGGACAAAGTAAACTTATGAAGGAAATGCATCTTTACTTGCAACATCTCTGCAATCTGCAATCCAAAAATCATACAGAGCATTTCCATTGCAGAAGAGACTCAGGATTCTGGATCACATCTTCAGAAATACCTCATGCCTTTCCACTGGCACTCAATTGGAAAAATGTTCTGAATATCATGTCAATTTTGAAAGTGAAATTTCACCTCCATGGTCATGCAGGTATTGTCAAAAAACTTTACTTACCATCTCTTTGAAAAAAACATCTTTTACTCGTGTATAACTAATCATTTTTTCCCATTATGTTTGTTTTATAGAACGATTTGCTATTCCTTCTCGAAAGATGTGAGTGGAAATTTAAAAACAAACTCAGAGAAATGAAGTGTAAAAACCATGAAGAGCAGTGCTGGACTCCACTCACTACTGTGGGCAAAGAGTAACTGTCAGCAGACTCAAGAGAGCCACAGACGCAGACCCAGGGACGCATTCTGTGTGCACAGACAACCAGCTGTCACCCGGAACTGCACGCAGACACGAGGATTCTCCACACAAACTTCCCGCTACCTTGTATTTAGAAATGACCGACAACACTGGGTATCCTTGTTTAATATTCTGCATGGCCTCTGCCTGCTTTTCTCCTTCATCACTTTCAGATACACGCAACAGGAGCGTGATGCATATCATCTGCAATCTTACAGCAGACCGGAGTCTCTGTGAGTACTCTGGCACGACTCATTCCTACTAAAGAAAAATTTCAAATAAATACTGAAAACAAGTTTTCAATCAATCAATCCAGGTGGATAGAGTAGCAAAACAGATGAGTTTTGAAAAGGGAGAGTGTGGATGCAGAGAAAATCTGATAAGGCATTTGTCTTAACAGATCATCTATTCACGAGAGAGGCAGCTGGAGAGGGGCCAAGCGAGGAAGAGAACATTTTTCCGAAATCAGCCCAGAAGCACTGTAACTAAAAAATTAAATGACATGACCAAAAACCCTTTTCTGCCACTGCGCAACTGAAAATAAACATTTGCCAGGTAAGACCATAAACAAGGTCAAGCAAGCAGGGTGGGCTGTGTAATTTCTGATACCTGACGGAAGGTGAGACAAGTGGAGCTTGTGAAGGTGCAGGAGGCCGGGCAGTGCTCTGCCCGTGCTTGGTGCTACACCAGGGCTTGGTAGGTCTGAATGAAACCTCACTGAAGCATCTGGTGAGAGGCTGTGTGACTGAAAACAGGAACTGATAATGCTAGAGACTGAATTCCAAGAATTTTCTCTAGATAAAATTGTAAAATATAATGGCATGATTTTTAAATATATGTGTACATAGGTCGATTTAAAAAGCAGGCATGCAGACATTAGAAATCCATCACCTTTACCGATCCTATTGTTTTTCCTTAGTTTCCTTCCCTTCTTGTTTAAGGATCCCAGTGGGCACTCCCCCAGGGGCACCTACAGTGCTTTCTGTCAGCAGGCTCCCAGCAAAGACGGAGTTGTGTAATGATTAACTGGATCACCATTTGGATGAACTCTGATAAAGGGAACAGATACACAGAGGCTGCTGCTGCTGAGCAGTCCCAGTGCAGCGACCACACAGAGAGACGGAGTGCTGTTTCACCACCAAAGACGCTTCCAAAGATGACTGTAAAACACGTGGAGCTCTCCTTCTTGGCAAAAGGTGCTAGGGGCAAGGGATGGGAATGGTCCTTCAGGAAAGGCATAAAATCAACGATATTTCTGAAGAAAACGTTCAGGCTACTGCTGATATTCTGTTATTTTTAAGCTGAGAGTATTGATGAGCTCCAGGGATGTGTTGTGATGGGCGATCTGGATCCGAGCTGGAGTGCGGGTGGGTGTGCGTGTGTGCACACGTGCCTGGGGAAGCAGTGCCTCCCTTCATACTGTTTCTTCCGGATCAGCTGTTTATAAAGACTTAGTAAAAGACAGAAAGGGAATGACGTTCAAGAAGAAGCATTACTCTGTCAGCAAAATCATTCTATTATTTCCCCTAAATGTGTAAGATTTAGCCTCCATTTACCAACACACAATGGTCACCTCTGTGGTCACTTGACCTAACGTTCTAACTGAATATGAGAAGTGTGCCTTGCCTCCTTCTGCCTAGCTCCCTCCCTCAACTATCCTATTTGCCACCTGGAATGTCTCAAACAATAGATAAGGAAGGATCTGTTTTAATATCATCCCTTTCAACAATTATTTTCTAATGTCTGAACAATTTCCTCTGAACACTTAGGCATTGTAACTCACAATAAACTGACTCCCTATTGTGCATTAATAATAATGCACCTATTTGTTTCTCTTTTCAACACAGGTCAGCAAAGGTCATTAGTTTTCTGAAAATATCAGCCAAGTCAGTGGCTTACGTCACCCATAGCTACATCACTTTACAAATAAAGAAGTGAAACGGCTTGTCCGTGAATGCAGAAGAAATTAAATTGCTTGTCCATGAACACAGCACAAATCTCCCAGTAGGTCCTGGCTTTTGGAGTCCAAATTCTTTGCCCACCTCCTGGTTACATGCAGCCTTTGATTGCATACGGTATGATGTAGATGTGATGAACAGTGGATGTCACAGAAATGCCTTTTGCAACCAGTAACACCAAAAGCACGTGCAATGTGCTGGGGCAGAGTAACAGCAGAAGGAATACACACAGCTGTCAGCAGAAACTAGTGATAGCCGCGTGACAGCAGCATTTCATTTTCTTGCATGGCTTCTTTTCTCATTCCTTTTACCTCAATTTTCTGAAGGAAAAAGCAAGCTAAATTTGACAACAAAAAAAAAGAGTTAAATCTGGGGTCTGCAATGCTGTGTATCCTTCATCCTTGTGAATCCTCACACTTACACGCAAGACAGAGCTGCTGCAAAAAGATATGCATAAAAGTTCCTTTTCCAGATCTAATCTACCTTCTAATGCACCTCATCAGACATGGACTGGAGCGTTAGAGCTTCATGGCAGAAGAAAGGCTACCACAGCTAACTACAGCTTGGTGAGATTTTGAACGTGGAGGCCTCTTGCACAGCGTGTGTCCCCAGGCAGCTGTCAAAATGGAAGAGAGCCCGGGTGCTGTGCAGGATGAATATGCAAGGACAGTCCTTAGCTGAGGAAGGAACAAAGAGACCATCAATCGCGTGAGCCCCAGCTCAGCATGACACTGCAGGGATTTGTGTCTCTGGATTTCAGAGCCACTGGAAAAGCCGGCAGAGCACTCCAGAGTTCCTGCTGGTACCAGTAACAAAAGCAAATCCAGGGCTAAAATGATCAGCTGAACAAATCTCAGAGAGAGGAAATGTGCTTGTCTGTGTGTTTATACGTGGCTTAGCACAAAGGTTCCCTGGACAAGACCCAAAGATATGACAAATGTGCAAAATAATGAGGAATAATTATAATGTGGGGTGCTGAGAAACCATAAACAGGTTGAACTTGTTCAGTAACGCCATCAGCCCTAACCCGACGGGCTGGGTCACGCACTCAGCATGCTGCCACACGCACTCATGGCTCCTCGTGTGATGGGCAATCTGCAGCCAAGGGCTGCAGCACGACTGACACCTGCTAAATATACACCGATTTTCAAAACAGGTCAAAAAGGAACCACTTTATGTGCATCTACTGCACATCTCCATGCTGTTACTCATGATTTCTGGACATGCCTTTTCACCACCCGTGCTGAATACAACCTTCTTTGCTACCCTCATTTTGTATGTCGTTATTGCTCTGGTAGAGCTGGTGACTTTGCAGGTGTTGATGGGGGCACCTTAGTGATAAAATAAAGGTAAGCAACAAAATGGCATCCCTCTAACACCCAACAGGTCAGAAAAACATTGGTGTGGGCCTCAGTGGGAAGGAAATTCTGGCCCTAGCAGCAAGGGGGGCTACTGACAACAGCAACTGCACTAGGTTCTTCTAGGGCTTGGGCTCAGGGACATCAGGAATGGTGGTGGTGGGGAGGGGATTGGTGTTTCCATGGGTTTGGTGGTTTTGACATATTCTGTTGCTACCAACTGAAAAAAGTTTCGTGAGGGTAACACAGAAGCTAAGTCCCAAACTGGGGTACTTATTCTTGTAACCGTTCTATTTACTTCTAACTGGGTCAAACATTATTGCTAGGAAAAGAGAGGAACTTCTGCTGCTGGCAGCAACAAGAACAACGTCAGGCTTTTGTTGGCTACTTTACACTTGGAATCCAATGACCCTGGTACTGATGCAATGTGGAAGTAATTCAGCTAAAGACAATAAAGTTATGCCAGGACAAATAAATTGAGTCAGAGTTGCGCACTTCTGGCTCCATCTGGCTTTTTCATAATTGCCCACAGGGAGCAGAACACAAAACTGCAAAGCATCATATTATACATGCATGACATCTGTGGTCAATTAAAACACAACCAGGTCATGCCCTAAGGAGCTGGCTGTCCGGTAGAGGCTTAATACTGCAGGGGATAGGTGAAAGGGGACGAGACGGAGGGAAGGCTCTGAACGAGAAGAGGATCATAGAATGAATCATAGAATCATAGAATGGTTAGGGTTGGAAGGGACCTTAAAGATCATCTAGTTCCTACCCCCCTGCCATCGGCAGGGAAACCCTCCACTACACCAGGCTGCCCAAAGCCTCATCCAACCCGGCCCCCAACACCTCCAGGGATGGGGCATCCACAACCTCTCTGGGCAACCTGGTCCACTGTCTCACCACCCTCTGAGTGAAAAATTTCTTCCTCATATCCAATCCAAATCACAGATCTACAGGAAAAAAATATTGAAGAATTATATTAGATTTCTATAACTTAATGATTGACAGATAGCTTAGAAAAGTTTATGGAAACGATTCAAAATAGGACGGACATATCCTAACTAAAAATGGTTTCTTTGATTTTTTTTTTCAGATGTAGTATATTTTCAAAAAGTGCATATAATGTATAAATAGAAACCTGATGGGAATATTTCAGCAAAACTTTTTTCTATTGGAAAATATCAGTGTTTGTCAACCATCAAAGCCATTTGCAAAATGGAAAAAGATGGTTTAGGGCAAATCCCTTGTTCTACAAGCTTTATAGGGGATTTTTCATTATTTTGTGAATAAAAAATTTAAATTTTTAATAGGAATAATTTTAGTTTAAAAATCTGATTTTAATCAAAATAATAAAATAAAAATTGGAATTAAACATAATTCCATTACGTATAAACAAAAAATTCAACTGTTCACTTTCAATAAATATTTCTCTGGCTTGCTGGTTCAAAAAAACAGAATATGAGTCTTTGTCCCAGACTAGGGGAGCTCTAAAGAATATGTAAGCATATGAAATCCATGTTACGTGCCAAATCATATGTCATGGATTTCCTCTCTGCTCCTACCTTGGAGCACTTGTCTCCTGCAAATGCCCAAGGAGAAAAGGGAACAAGTAAGTGTATTATGGTCCTAAAAACCTCCTGGTATGCAGTAATCTCTCCCCCTGTTTTCCGGCTTTGCCCACTTCTGTCATTTTAGATTGCAAAGCCCCTAAGACACTTTTTTTAAACATTTGTGTAGACAAGTGTGCCCTTATCCTGAGTGGAGTTTCAATGCAGCACCGCTGAACATTAACAGTGTCCTCTAGACCTTTTTATAGGTTGTGTGTGTCCTGCATGCACAGTCAGACAGGCAGAAGAGCAAGAACGGGGTGAGCAATAAATACTTTCTTTGGCACAGAAAGTAGAGCAAGCTTGATCCAAACCTGGTGTTTCAGTTTGGCAATAGAGCACACTGACCCCAGCCAACGGCATCTCGTATGTGGAGCACAGTAACTGCCCCATCATCATAACACGCTCCAGCTGCAGGGTTATAAACCACAACGATGTGCATTCAGAGACCACTGGGATATGGTTTTGACCGCTGATGGTCATGTGTTGCTCAGTACAAGTATCAGCAGGTTATGAATGCACACTCCACAGTGGCTTCTTGCCACTGACAATTTAACTGATCCTCCTTTTCTAGCTCCCCATTCCAACACATCTGCTTGTTCTTCCGCAATCTGGGCACTTCATTTAGTGAAGTGACTCAGGAATACTAACAGGAATAATTATAATGTCAGTGTAGGGAGTAGAGGCCTTCTCTGCAATTATTTCGGTCACTGAGTTTAGCTCTCTGCCCACTTTTTCAATCCTTGTGTCATTGTATCAGATCTGAATCATAACGTGAATCAGAATGATGGCAGATTCTTATTTTCTATTGCAACTTGAAGGCCAACAGTTATTATTACATTCTTAACAAAGAAGCATTAACCCATGGAAAGATAAGAGTCTATCAACAGGATTGCGAGGTGGAGAAGTATCTGTAGGCATACAATTGCTGCTGTAAACCACCACTGCTCCCCACTCTAAAATGTGCAGAAAAGACACCAGATGAGTGCCCATGCAGACTTCAAAAAGAAAATACACCTTCTTCCTTTTGAACAGAGCAAGAGGCTGCCATCCAGGAGTGGGAATTTAGATGTTGCCTTGGGATTCCCAATGGCTGAGACATTACTTTCCGATGTCAGAATGATCCTGAGAGGTGCCAAGCTCACACATTACAAGGCAATGCACCCAAAGTACCCTCTCAAAAAGGAGCACTGACAGCTGGCAGAGAGAAGCAGGGTACATCCAGCACTCCCGACGTCAGGTCCTTGGAGGGGATTGAAGATCCTCCTTCTTCTCTCTAACTGTTACCAATTTTGTCCTCTGTCTGTTTTTAAAGCATAATGATGGGGAGGAAATTCAAACTAGAGATTAGTGGCTGGTGGGAACAAAAGGATGAAAGTTATTGCTGTGCTTGGGAGAAAAGGCATGAAATGCTCCAGTTCCTTAGACACAAGAGAAGCCTTTAGCATCTTGATACTTACTGTGCCAATGTATTTGCACTGTTCCCTACTCTTAGGACAAACAACACTGAGAACACACGGCAACTTAAACATCAAGTGGTAGACGGCAACACTCTACTGCCAGCCAGCATTATTTGGTTATTAACTTGTTCACCCTGGTGTTGTGGTATTAGACACTCCTTCCCGTGGCATATAGTCCTGCTGATCCCACAAACCAGGGAGGTGAAAGCAGACCTGACTCTCCTTTCGTTCATATGCTTTCGAGTTGATGTACTCAGTGACATCACAAGGTTTTAAGACAGATTACATTGTCTAAGAAAATGAAGGAAGGTCGTCGATCTCGCACTACCATGAAAAGACTGGCCATTACAAGAGAACGAGGATGTTTGGCTTAGGCATGGATTTACTGAGGAGGAGAGGAGCACTTAGTCTTCTCCCTCCGTTAGCATCAGGAGCAACAACCACGTGGTTTTGCAGCTCCCACAACCACAAAAGGTCTGGATCCAGTTTTGCCAGTTCAGTCAATAAAGGTCAGTCACACTAAGACACACACGGCAGGAAAAGATTTTGTAAAGCTTTTTACAAAAATATGCAATTTACCTCCTTCTCTTTGAACTATGTGGTACAGGTGAACTGTATGCAGGATACACTCCAGATCTTGATCTTGGTAGCCTTTCTCGTGCATGTCATCCACTGAGTCTGGATAGATGACTTGATCACGTAGCGTTCCAATGGACATGTAGGGCCTGAGAAAGAATACGGAGAAACCGGTTATCTGGGGCTGGCTCCAAGCGAGCGCATCTCGCTGATGCTCTATGAGCAGAGCATAATGCTTTAAACACCACGTTGCTAAAACTGGATTTATCTGTGGGTGCATTGTGGGTGAATATTTTTCTAAACTTACCCTAGGGACAATGTATTGTTTCCATAACAGCTGATTACAGCATAGCAACAGGGGTAGTATTAGCATGAAAACAAAATGACAGATCAGGCAGAAGAAACACCCACTTCATAGCCCATTCTGAATGTTTTCACTTGGAATCTGGGAAACTATGCTATATTCAAGGTTTGGTACACTTAAGAGTTCTAGAAATTGGATTAAACATTTGCATGTTAAAAGGGAATCATAAGAAAAACTTTGCAGCTCAAACTAGGAAAGACTTCCGCGGTGCAGCAGGAGACACCCAAGTCAGGCAGGAGAGCAGTGCACACCTCCTTTGCACACTGCTATTCTGGACTGCAGAACTGGGACCAGGAGTAACTTAGCTGGCTCTAGAAGCCAGTGTAACTCTTCCGAATTGCAAAAAAGCATAATTAGAGAAGCTGATCAGCTTAAACCTCCCAGCACCAGCCTCTCTTTGCCAAACACAAGGCTGAGCTGTATGTGCAGCAGCTTCTGAATCACCACGTTCCCAGACCAGGCAATACCATCCATCTTACTAAAACAAGCTGTCTCCATTTCGGAGCCAGAGCCCTCAACCACAGCCATGTCTCTGGAATGGCTATAGACAGCTTCCACAATGTTGTGAGCTGTGCCTAGCCTCTAGTACAGCCCAGGCCCCCAAAATTCTCCTAGTATCTAAACAAACTCAGCTCAAAGAACAGTTTTACAGCTCTCTAAAAGATATCAGGCCATTCAAGTTAGGAGAGCAAAGGCAACCTAACACATATCTATTTGGCCATCTCTTTTGCTGCTATTGTTCTACGGATGTCTTGTGAAGGACAAACATCCATCCTGTCCCACAGACACTGCTGATAGCTTCTGGAAGCTGAAAACACCCCAGGAATATTTGTGAGATTTTGAGTTTGGAGGGTAAGGCCAGAGCCAAAGAACAGTTGGGCTCCAGACTCTGTCCTGCTTTCTGTGCCAAGAGTTAACACTAACTCCCTCTGGGTTCATCTGCCAAAACAATACCAGTCTTATTAAAGCCAGGGGATGATGACAGAGAGAAGCAGTTAAAATTGGACCAGCGATGAGGACGATTTCCAGGCAGCTTGCCTTTGCCACAGAGTACTGCTTCCAACAACTTCACAGTGCGTTGACGAGGGGTCAGTTTTTTTCCCTGAGAGGTTCTGGATCTGTGAGGTGGGAAGGTTTCAGCCACGCAGAGGCTTTCCCTGGCAGAGCTGTGTAATACCTCAGCAGATTTCTTCCCTTCCCTTGGAGGTGTCTCTGCAGAAGGGGTGGATCTACCCATTGTTATTCTGAGAATCCCTAAAACACACCACAGAGTAATTGAAAGGAATTCACAATGTAACAGATGTGGAATCACAGAACTAAAGCTGCAACAACTGAAAGTCACATTCGAGCTGGCATCAGCTGCATTGGTGTTAGTGCTGCAGACATCTATGGCAAACTGTCTGTACCTGCCTGTAGTTAAACTATTTTCACCACCAGCTGGGTGAGGGTGGGAAGGGCAGGGGATCTGAACTGCTCACAAATATTTGGTCATCTCCCTGCTGTGGGTAGGCACCCAGATGGAGCAAATCCAGAACCGCAAGTCAAATACAAGCATTGCTGCTCCTCTTTGCTCATTGTTGTGCTTTCTGCTTACTGTGGGAAGAGTGCCGCTCCAGGCTGCTGCATCAACGCTCACATCAAGTGCAGCGAACCATTTACATTAACAGGGATATTGCAAAATCCCAACTCTAAACATTATGTAACTTCATGAAGTAATGATATATTACATTTCCGTAGTGCTCTCCATCTAAAATCCCAAAAGACTTGACTTCTTGCGTAGGTAGAAATCATTTCACTCGCTCCAGACTGCTGCCATCTCTGGGACAGAACTCCACCTGCACTCAGCAAAGTTGAGATCAGGTTGTGCATTAGACTATGTAATTTAGGTGAAGCTGCAGGTAAGGACAAGGACAGAGTTACCTATTGTATAATTTGTCTGGGCTTTAATACGGTACTCTTGTGAAGTATGATCCTGTAATGACTAGCAGCTCTGAGATTTAACCTACAGCACAACCAGGAAGGCAATGCTCAAAAGCACTGCACCAGGACACTTGCTGCCATGCTGTTTACTGAGTCACCAGCACCGCTTCCTGGTACAACTGCATTTTCCTTGTGGCCTCCCATCTAAACACACCAGTACTACCAAGTACGCCTCTCCCCACCCAGTCTGTAAAAATGAAAGAAAAGCCCAGTCTGCAATGGAATAGCAAATCCCATCCATTACTAATTAGCAGAGAGGAAGAATGGCTTGTGGTTATGGATCTGTCCCGGGAGGTGGGACCTCCATCTATATCCGCTTCCTCTGTCCTATAGGGAGCCACTCACGTCCTTCAGAGGACACTTTATCTTGCTTGGCATGAGATGTCTCATTTGGTGCTCCAACTCTTGACAATAGAGAGGTATCTCTATGATTGATTTATCCCATTTATTTTAGGGTAAGGATGGATTGCCTCCTGGGAGTGTCTTCTCCCTCAATAAGGAATGGAGCCCAGACAACTAACTTTGATAACTAACTTCTAAAGTGTTAAAGCCAGTTGAGATCTCATCTAACCCATATTCTCATAATCTCATACTAAACCAGACTTCCCTATCTGTAACTTGAAGACAATAATCTCCTTACCTACCATGAGTGTCACAAAGTCAAACACACTAAAACCTGTTAAACATTAGATGTTATTGTAATTGAGGTTACATGCGTGTGATAGCTAGACATGAAGTAGTAAGAAGCATGGAAAACTGGATTCCGCAACAGTTACATTTTGGCTTTGCCAGTAAGCTCCTTGTTAAAATACTGCTTTCATTAAATTTTTAGCAGTTCAAACAACAAAACCAGTCTTTTTGTCTCAAAATAATACTTGAGTTTAACTGGACATAATTGATTTCTGATGGAGTTTTTCCTTTCCTCCAGAGTGTCTGGGTTCCAGTCTCAAAGAAAGCACTCTTACAGACTCTGAAAGCAACTCCTCTGCTGCGCACAGGTCATGTCTTTGATGATAATAGCTCTGCAATTGTTTTATTTCTTTCTCTGCTCTCTGAAGAGATTCCTACACTGTTTTTGAGTGTTTTGAGAGACAGGATTTAAGATCAGTAATCCTTTTTTAAAGCTCTAGTATAAAACCTCCAGAAAGCTAAAAAAACTTACTGATTCTTGCCTGGTTTTCTCGAATTTCAAGGCATTTATTGGAAGAGACACTTTCAGTTCTCATAAACTGATCTTTTTTGATGGTTTCATGGTTTTCTTGCATCACTATTTTCTGTTTGGTGCACTTAGCACTTCAATTTGCAGAGCTGTAACTTCATTCTGCTAGTAACAAGGCTTACGGCTTCCCCCTTCCAGTGCAGGCTTTAAAGAAAGATGATATCGAGACGTGCTGCAATCTGAAGCTTGTAGTATGGACAATTCCCCAGTGCCCTATTGACATATGACATTGTGTAAAATGTTGGCAAAATATTAGAGAAATCATATAAGGAGGAAGGGCAAGTGTCGCTGATGACATGGTCTCTTTATTGCGGTTAGCTTTGGGGAGGGAGAAGGGGGCAGGTGCTACAAAACATATTGGACTACATACCAGTCACTTGTCTTTCCAAACAGAGGACTTGCATGTTGAAGCTGTTAGGCTTAGAGGGAAGTATGATGCCAATTCAAAGGGACGGTAGATTAACACTGCACACTGTAACCAGGCAGTACTAACATCTATTAATTCACTGATGTCTTGAGAAGCAGAGGGCTTCACTCTCTTGGGTAGCAAGTTAAGGAAGATGACTTGCTTAGATGTCAAGAAATTTCTGTTCCAAAATCAGACCAAGCCATATCCACTTGAAATGTTTACAAATACTTCTTGGATGTATTCAAAGGTGTTTTCATCTTTTATGCAAAATAAACTGTGCTGATAGAACTGATAACCTGTTCTAAAACCATATTATTTTAAAGAATTATACCAACTAATCAATATGCACTATGAGAGTCTATAAAGCAATCTGAATGGTCAGAGTCTTAATTATAAGTACCTTGGAATAAGAAAGGAACCAAAAATATATCTTAATAAGTGGTTGGCATCAGTAATTAAGGGATATTAGTTCAATGTAACTGCCCAAGGTACTGCTTCCAGGCACAGCCTGAACCTCACCTCACCTTCCTTGGCACAGGCTGCGATTAACACTTCCTCTATGGAAGGTAAAGTCTGAAAACATGTGGCTTGTGATTCTGGAAGCCATCTGCATGCCTCTGATTGAGCAATCAGGACCTGACTTGCCATTTGCTGTCCCAGTGTGTTTGCAGTTGTTATGGCACTATTATTCTCACAGACACGCAAAGTTACACGAGAAAAGATTTATCTTCTAGAAAATTATGTGTAATGCAACTACAAACTCTTGACTGACCCATTGTCCTGGTTTCAGCTGGGACAGAGTCAGCTCTTCTTTTTAGCAGCTAGAAGAGCTCCATGTTTCGGTTTTAGTCTGAGACTTGCTCTGAGAAGAATGCTGACAGCGCACTGATGTTTGTAGTTGGCACTGAGGTCTCAAGGACTTTTCAGCTGCTGTGTTCTTGCCAGTGTGCAGGAGCACAATAGGACTGGGGGAGCATGGCCGGGATGGGGGGTCCACGACTCTCCTTATGATTTGTACTTAGACTTAGGATTGAGGGCCAAATTGGCCAATTAGTATTCCATATCATGCAGCGTCATGTCCAGTATAAAAGTGAGGGACAGCCAGAAAAAAGGGCCTTTGCTCTTCCGGGACTCTCACTTTCGGACTCTTGGAGTATGCTCTCTCTTTCTCTC